TATAATATGGATATAAGAGAATTCATTTTTTTAAAAAAACAGGACATTAATTCTTGAAGATTTTTTTTCAAATGTCAGTAAGTTGTTTTTTAAAAAAAATGAATTCTCTTATATCCATATTATAAATCCCTGTTTCTCAATCTTGGCAAGTTTAGTATGTGTGAACATCAGCTCCCAGAATTCCTTAGTCAGCATGGGAAGTGCACATATCTTAAAGTTGTTAAGTTTGTTAAGTTTGGGAAACACTGCTATAAATATTCTATGTATTGATTTACTATGTTTCTATAACCCTTCCTACGTGACCAGTTCTCAAAGTGGTTTACAAGGCAGTTTTTCTAGTAGGAATAAGCAAGCCTACTTAACCTTTTTACATCCCAAAAAATGTATCCCACGATTGCAATTATGGGGAAATGTTCTGAACAAGCAGAAGATCTGCAAAAAATATTATTAGATCCATAAAGTAGGGATCCGGGAACAATATAGTTGGATCCTATTTGTATTTTTATGGGGGAAAGGCAAAAAAATAAACCAGTGGAAAGTACAAAGTAAGATAGTGTTCAGTAGCAAGGAACATTTGCATGAGGGGGATAGAAAAGAGAAATCACTAATTCTCTTCAAATACACTGTGAGTCTCATAAACAGGAAATTTTATTGTTACAAAGACATCCCAAGTAAACCAAGACAAAACCTTGTTGGTCTGTTGTGGGGATGGCATTAAAATTGAGGGTATGGTTATCCAACTAAACTAATGTACAATGTTTTGGGGGGAAATAAGAATGAAGAAATGCCAAAACAATTAAGTTAGCGGTTTGAAGTCATAAAATTTCAGTGTGGGCAGTGGATTGAATGCAGTGATACTATTGGTAGTAGATTAGACCTGGATTTAAAGACAAATTGCCTTATGAAACAATTATCTCAGTTACTGGGATCACGCCAGTAGCTCTCTGGGACTAAAACTGAGGGACCCCGTTACAAAATTAGTTGCATCTGTTTCTTCATTGCTGATAAACTCTTACCTGAGGTCCTGGATCTCCACCGTCACCTTTGATACCAGATGAGCCTGGACTTCCCTACATCAAAGGAAAGATGACCAAGAGCATGTTGTTTTAGTTCAATCTGACTCACATTTTGACTCAGAAAAATACATTCTTTTGTATTGCTGATTAGCTTGGACATGTTCACATCAAGGCAGGGATAGGTGAATGAGAAATTTAAGAGTAGATCAGTGGTGGGATTCAGCCGGTTCGCACCTATTCNCCCACAAAGGAGGCCACACCCACAGAGTAGGTTCGAACAATTTTTGAAACCCACCACTGGAGGGGAAGGACAATTACTGCTGAGCACAGGGGTGGGGTTATAGCTGGTCCATCCTTGTCTTTACGGACAATTCATAAAAGAAGAAGCAACGTAAGTAAGGGTTTTTCAAGCTGTATTCCACAAAAACTGGGGGATCGGCAATAACTTGGTAGGATTTCATGAGAAGTTATAGAAAAAAAATTGAATGCAACCTTTTTTCTATCACTAGAGTTTTGCCTCATGATCAAAGATTCTGGGTTCTCTTTCCTCCTCAATTAACTAAATAGCAAATTCTTTAAAAGCTTGAAAATGTCTGATTTGAGCTACCACTTTAATCTACGGCAATATTACTGACTTCAGGGAAGAGATATTTCAATCTGGCTAATGAAAACCTGCAGACATATTCAAAGACTACATCCTATACATATTAATTCACTATCTGTTTGATTTCCATCCCATAACTGGGCATAAATCTCACTGAAGGCAATGGGAGTTATGTCTGAATAAACATATGTAGGGCATGTAAACATATTGAAACCATATGGTTCTGGAAAACATCACAATTGTTTTGGACAATTCCAGATGTAGTTTTAATGCATCCACATTTTTAGATAAAGAATCATGCGCGTTTTTCTTACCCTGTGTCCTTTTTCACCTGGTAGTCCAGGAAGTCCATCAAAACCTCTGTCACCCTAATAGGAATAACAACAATAACAATAACAGTGTGAGCAATTCATTTTCACATTTTATAATAGTCTCGATAAATGGGTCGATCTGATAAATGAATTTTACTATACATTTATTTTATTGATGGATACCTTTACCCTAAAACTGAATGTTTTTCTTGGAATTGCCACAAATAATCAACCTAAGGATGTTATTTCTAAAACCTAATTGGAAAGAGAAAGAACATTTTCCTGCTCTACATGGGGCTGCCCTTGAAGAGTATCCGGCGACTTCAGCTAGTCCAGAATGCGGCCGCGCAAGCGATTGTGGGTGCACCTCGCTTCACCCATATAACACCTATCCTCCGCGAGCTGCACTGGCTTCTGGTCGATCTCTGGGTACGCTTC